AGATATTTTGATTTCCATACCGGGATGGATAAGTTAGCAATCCCCCCGCACTAATGCTATTTACAGGAAAGCACGATCTTGTTTTCGGGATTTCTGTGTCCATATTACTGTCATATTAGATTTCATTTCATGCTGTACTTGGTCTGCTCTCAGACTGTTTCTTCTAGTAAGTGAATTATTCTTCCATAATGTGCAGTCAGATGCTGTTATACTGTAATGGTCGCAGATGTTTCTGAGGAAATGGCCAAAGCCGCCATGCATTTTGCAGCCAGTGACACTTGTAACCTTATTAAAGAAATCAGCTGCTACTAAAATGGTTATTATTAACCACAGTTGCTGCTCGGCCCTGGGGATGGCAGCGTCTGTCTTGTCAGTTGTTTTGTCCAACATTTTGTTCCAGATTGAAATGTTTCAACAGCTTAACATGGACTGTCCTTATATCTTGTGCAGACATTCACAGTTCCCAGAAGATGAATCCTGTTGACTTTAGTGATCTCCTTATGTTTTCTCTAGCACCATGATGTGGTTAGCGTTTTTGGATTTACGTATCTTAGCAACTACCTGACAGACTGTCATGACATTTTGTGACATTCATGTTTCCCAGAGAATCGACTGTAATACCTTTTTGACCTTTAAGTCAAATTTGGAGTTTCACCAAAACTTTGATTTGTGACTAAATACCTGCAAACTATAGACCCTGGCATTCCAATAGTGTATTTCATGGACGTTAACGTGCTAAATTAAGATGGTGATATAGTAAACATTTTACTTAACAATAGCCTGCTCGTATTATTAGTGTAAGTGAGTTAGCTAGTTGACATGATCCTTTAGCCAAAAAGGTCAGCTGTGCATAAATACAGACTTACAGAGGGCTTGCATGCCTCTAGACTCATTTCAAACAACAAAAAGTGCCGCTATCGTAGAATTCACTTTGTCCAAGCTTCCCTCTGAATGCAAACGTAGCTCCATTTTTGTTTTGTTTAGGCCAAATAAAAGCTTTCTGCGTCTACGTTGGTCCACAAAGGACGCCAACTTTGTCATCCACCCAAGTCCACAAGGGTCTGAAGGAACCCCTCTGGGGAGATTCGTGCTGACCGTCCACACTGCAGATTTGCTGACTACCGCTTCTCTCTTATCAACACCTGTATCATTCATCATAACAGGAGTTGTGTTGTGACTTTGAAGGTGCTTTGATTTGTACATGCCTTCCATCTACATGTTTGGGTTGTCAATGGAAGGCATGTACAAAGTTTTAAATTCTCCAGAAATCCTGTGCTATGTCCGTCCACTGCACACACTTGAGGCATGTTCACTGACATGATGCTGCAGTGCAACCTGTAAATAGCTGCTATATGCTGTAAAAAGCGCAAAGTCACAGGCAGCGTCGACACGGTAGCCCCCGTTTATTTTTCTGTTTGTGGTGATCGGGGCAATGCAGCCTTTTGTGTAACGCTGCGTACTGTATTATGAATAGAACTGTGTGCGAGTCCGCTATCCGTTTTCAAACCCCTCATTGGTCAGCGCCCACGGACGCAGAAAGCATGAATTGGCTGTTAATGCGACAGTACAAGGATGTCAAGGATGAATACCCTTAATGCATCACTAATGGCTTTATATTATTTCATGTCGTGAAAGTCGTCTTTGGAAATAGCTCCATTTCCGCGGTTTGATGTGTGCGCTTTCTGCAAAAAAGCTCTTATATTAGGCTCCCTTTAAAAAGTCATAGCTCTGCTGTGTCAACTACCACCCAATTTGTTTGGGATAAATGCAAGACCTTGAGCTAGAAATTGAACCTGCCAACCATGAGTAAACTGCACTGGCTGTGGGCTGCTATTAGACTTACTGAAGACATCTTCAAATGTAAATGAAATGCTATGTGCGCCTGATGGATTAATGTGTATTTACACCGGCAAATGCAGGCACACTGGAACGATAAAATAGCCTGAAAAACACCCATTTTTAGTTTGTTTTATAGTCACCTCCGCACCTCAGTTTATTATTATCTTGTTTTTAGGAGTTTCTTCATAAGATTGTTTCAGCTCATTTCACATCTGTCTTTTTAATGGAAATTTTACTAACAGAGTAAATCCAAGGAAAGCTGGAAGCATAACGATGAGGCTCTCGATACGGCATAAAAGCGTATGTGCAAGTGTGTTTTAATGTACTTGTAAATGCACCATTGAATCCACCATTACAAGTAATATATTCAAGGTGTAAAGATGCTTAAATACCACTCTCTTTTCACTTTCCAGCAGAGTAGAGTCATGCTGTGTGCTGCAGTGTTTCTGTCTACTGCATGAGGTTGAGATGACACTCTTCGTATGAATAATGTCTTCCCTTGTTGCGTTTTTTTTTCTCTCCCTGTGATCCACTCTCTACTTTCTCTCAGCATGGCAAGAGTCCCATCTAGAAAGATCAGTGGGTCTGTCAGCGAATTGATTCAGTGGAAGGCAAATGTAAAAGAGAAGCAGTACCGTAGCACAGTAATGATGCTTCCCTAACTATCTTTCCTCTCATTATTATATTGTGTTTTATATCAGAGACCTAATAAAAAAGCTTCTTCAAGTACATGATAATGTTGTTTATGTCAAAGAGGATGTTGGCAGAACTCTTGTCAGTGGTTAAAAGTTGCCAACTTTTAAAACATTTTCCTCGTCTAACTTATGCGTTTCAATTCGCAGCATTTGTTGCTTTAAAGTTGTGTTTTTCCTGTGTTCAGACCTATTTCCAATTTTGCTTTGACCCTGTTCTCTCAACTCGGTGTGGTGACAACTGAGGGAGAAAATGGGATAGTAGGACAAAACTACTGAAATTTGTCCAAACAGATGAAAAGCTGAGAGAAGGCTTTAGGAACAGTTTGATGCATTTTAAATCACTGCCAGCTGGACATGTCATCTGCTCAATGGCATGAGACAAAGCGTTCCTCTTCAGTGAATTGAAAGGTCAGGTTGACATCCCAGCTCCCTGCAGAGAACGACACTTGTACACCAGAGATATGCGTGTGTGTGTGTGTGTGTGTGTGTGTGTGTGTGTGCACACACGTGCACACGCACACATGGTTGTTTTTGTGGCGTGGGACATGGGTTTCTGCCTATGTTTGAGATCCTGCTGTGACGAAGTGAGAGGAAGTTTAATTTACAGTGTCAGTAATTATGTGTGATGGTGATCTGTGTAATCTCCAGCTTATCCTTCTGACCTTTCAATCACATTTGTGGCATGGTGGTGGAAATCTCCATTTTGTAGGAATGAGCAGAGACACAAAGAGAAACCGGAAAAGAGAGAGAAAAAAAGGATCGCTGAGAGTTGACTGTAGGGCGTTGCTGGAGGAAGAGTATCTAGAGATGCAGAGGTCAAAAACACAGCTCAACGTTGGACTATATTCTGTACTTCACTGTGTCATTAGGAGTGGGCTAAGATTACTGCTAGAACTCTGACAAAAATGGTGTTTAGAGATGACAACAGTGTTTTCCCAATTTAGTCAAGATGTTGTGAAAAGCTTTGCAGTGTGTTCTACTGATTATTCCATTGTTTAGTCAAGTAATAAGATAAGAAATATTTTTGCTTCATTGAAGAAGAATAATGAACACGCAATAGAGGAAATAGACAGGTCTTTTAAAATGAACAAATAAGTTTATTTTTTAGAGAAAATACTATTTTTATTGCCAAATTGCATAGTCACATACCTAATCCAAGTCCTATACAGAGACAAGGGAAGAGGACAGTTCTCTCTGCAAAGTTAGAGGAGGATTTTTTTTTTTACATTCATCATAGTAATACTTTTTTTAAAGCCTTATAGAGTAGATTATGAGAGTTGCAGACGATCAAGACACCTTTTCATGTGTTATCATAACTGAATTTGTGTTATTGTCATAGATGAGTTTGATTTTACAACAAACATATTGTCAGAGTTTGAGTTTTATTTACAGCATGCAATGATCCCAAACTAGGCATTTCCTCTGGTTTGCTCTGTCTGTCCTATTTCCTTTCTCCTCTATTTCTCCAAACAGCAAAGCTGTGTAAAGTTAGAATGAAACTTCTATGTGAAGAAATGTCATTGATTTTTAGTCATTGAGTTACTCAGGTTTTTCATGGAATCGTTTCAGTTCTGGCTGCAATGCTTTCTCAGAGAACACAAAACCTTCTTTCAAACCAAGACAGTCATAAATGCTGTACAGCAAACATCAATATCTTTTCGCTCTGTTCACACTGTGACCATTAGACCTTATTTCATCTCTAAAAAAACAGTGGTGGGGGGTTGTTTTCTCATTCTCTGGCCTTTTGAAGTGACTCGGCACATTTAAGCTATGTGTCCACCAAAGCCATACTGTTGGCAGCTAAAAGATCCAGGGGCTCCTCTGGAAATGTCCCGCTGGGTAGGCTTGGTCAGTGTGGTCCTGCACCTGCCAAAGTTAAACAACTCTCCAGGTGAACAGAGGAAAAAAGAACCGAGCATGCAGGGCTCAGTGCAGAATAGACGCTCGCCGCCTTGTCACACTGTGTCCACAAGATATGTCATTTCAGTACTTTCCATTCATTGTCTATGTAACCAGCCCTGCAAAGCATTTTGAGATGCAGGACGTTGTGTTGCCTCTTGAAACATCGCTTAGTTGAAGTCTTGGCTACTTAATGCAAATCAGGGGTGGCAACTCAATGCCACAGTCTCCAAACAAGCCACCATGTTGGTCCCGTTTGAAATCCAGGAGCAGACAGTTCACAAGTGAAGCATTCATTCAATCAGATGTAGCCAATATTTGGGACACATCACGTCATGTGGACACGTACCGTCAGTGTACAGTGTGGTGCTCCAAACAATGAATAACACTTTGGTCGACACACCCACAGAGATGCAGTTATGTAGAAAGGACAAAGCCTCTGAATTACAGTAACACTCTTTACAGGGAAGCTATAAAGTAAAATGTGCAGTGAAATAAAAAGTACATTTACAAAAAATTACACAGAGAACATGAACATTTATGGCCTTCTTTCTTCTCTTTTCACAGTCAACAAGCACAAGCCGTGGATAGAGACTTCCTACCATGGTGTGATCACAGAGAACATGGACACGGTGCTGCTGGACCCTCCACTGGTGGCCCTAGACAAGGACGCCCCGGTTCCCTACGCTGGTAGGAAATGGGAATATGCAGCGACGAACACATTCACATCTGCTGTACAGTATCTGTGAACTTCACACACAGTATACACACATGCAGTGCGCAGAACTTTACACACACACATTGTCTATCACACACAAAGGACTCCGGCGAGGATGCTTCAGTAGTGTGTGCAGGCAGCTGAGGCAACTTCACACCACAAGACAAAAACAGATGATCCAACATTTTTCTGTGCTCACTGTTTGTCATGGAGACTGAGTGCCATTTATCACTGTTAGCAGAAAACAAATGGTCTTTTTGTTTTTAAAGAGAGCATTTTTTTTCTCCTCATCATTATATAGAATTAGTTTGCACAGACACACACAAGACAAAGCTTTTCTTTCCTTAACAAGGAGCTTACAGAAGAGACAGTTTGGAAACAAAGAGTGACTCTAATTTTGTGTTCAAGCTGAGTTGCTGCGTACATTAAGCAAAGTGGGCACGACATGCACATGATTAAATCTAAACATTCAGAAACATTTAAAAAGGTTTTGAAAGGTTTTCTTTTTTTACTTGCTCTTTCTTTGTAGAAAAAAAACTCTATCAGGAACACTTGGCTGCTAAATTTCAATCTAATGCAATCGAGCAAAAGGCAGAAGTTTTCCGGCATCTCTTTCCTTTTCTCAGGGATGTTTGGGAGTGACGGCTTATTTATAGTATGACAGAAAGCACAAGACTCTTTTTCCATCGCCTCATTTCTGATAGTTTGACAAACATAACCTGCATCTGTATGTCCACATTCTATATGCTAGCAAATGAGTTGCGTCAGACTGGAACCTCATTGCTCATGAGGGCCTGAGGTCTCTATCTTATCTCTATCTGACTTATCTTATATAACACGTACATATGACACATTACTGAAGCAGTGGGCTTCAACCTAAAAAAAAAATGTAAGCAATTTGTTTCAAAAAATAGCCCTCAGTAATGGAAGCATATGAGGTCTTTTCTTAAGCCTTGTCAGCATTTCATTATGGCGGTATTCATTTCAGAAGCAAGACAATATTCTGTCATTTGCAGCAGAACGCCAGAATTTTCATGGCTGTGTGTTCTTTAATTAGGATTTACGTTACATAATTTTGTGTGTAGCATATTGTGCGTTTCAGCTGCGGTTTACTTATTCTGTTTTCACGTATGTCTTTGATTTTGCGTTTTGCTTCAGTCGCAACCACCACACCGCTCGTTGTTAATATTTAATAATTAATAAAGACTTCATGAATTAATCTCTGAAACTTTATTGCTCTTCAGAAATGTCCCTCATCCCCTCTAGCGATATTTGATGGCGATATTTGCATTAACCGGAAAGTTTGGTCACTCAACTCGCTGTAGCTTTTTGAGGAAAAAAAAAAAAAGTTTTCACAGCCTACTCAGTCAGTAAAAAACTCCCCTAGTAGTCCATGAAAGATAACCCCGGGACAACATTTGTTCAGTTAAACTTTTTTATCGTGCTCCCGCTGGAAGTGAAGTTGCCACAGAACCCGTAATCGTTACCATTAAGCTGGATGCTGGCGGTGCAGTGCTGACGTGTGGCGTGTTATAATGACAGTAGGCTACAACATCATTAGAAATCTCATCTCTAGACGATAGTTTCAGGTGCTTATTATGTTGTCTAACAAGAACCCAAATCAGACGGGCGTCACACAGGTACAACGGTTCTGACGGTGACAGGAAGAAGAGGGACAGAGAGAGCTGTTATAATTAGACAAAGTATTCCGAGACTCAAAGGCAAACGAAGAGGCTTTTGGCAGCTAACGCTTAACAGCTCATTATGGTGAAATGGCTCCTATTAATCCTGGAGCTGACAACCATGGAAAACTGATACTCAGCTATTTTCCTCTCTCTGTTTTCTTTTCTGTGTGTATGTGTGTGTGTTTTTTTATTATAATGCCACAGCCATAATTTTGTTTTTTTTTGGTGTTTCTTGTGAGCTGCTGCATAAATTATGGGCAAAAGCTGTTGACCTTGAAGAGCATGAAGCAGATTGAATCCATGTTAAAAGCTTTTCCCTCACAGATGTTATTAGCCCTGTACTGTACATATACAGTACGGTACAGTGTAACCCAAATACTGTGCAAAATGTACAGTAAATGAGGATTTAATGATCCTTTGGAGGGGTACTGAGGATTTAGTTCGACTTTAGAAAAAAAAAGATACTGAATATATTTAGCAAAAATAGCAACCGTAATATTTTATTCATTACAAGTGGAGACTCTGAGGATGCTCCGTACAGACATTGTTCCTGTCTAATCAGGCGGCCTTACAGTAAATTACAGTACATAGCGTTCCCCAGAAACCAAATCCGTAGTGCAGAGACGGTTCAATGACACCATGACAAGTAGGCAGACAAAAAAGGAAATTAATTTTAATTGTTTTTCTCCATGATTAACATGTGGTTTGTTTACTTGAGAAGGTCAAGTCTGGTGAAATATCGCCTGAGAGGACAAAGCAGAGCTGTGCACAGGCTGCTGACTGGTGATATTTCTCTCCTTGAATGTTTTTCATTGCATGCGGTCTAAACGAATGAAACCCATACAATAGCTACCAAGGAGACTGCAAAAAAAATGGCCATAAAAGAGCAGCTCTGTCCCAATTTATCTCCCTTGGCAATTGTCTACTTGCTACAGCTCGCCCTGTGTTTTGCACAAACTCACCCCCTCTTCCCTTTTTTCCTGCTCGGAGTCTAACTATTCTCTGAAAATTTTAGCTCAATCTGTGCACCTTTCTCTCCACACCAGCACCGCACTCCTTCTTTCTCAACACAGCGATCCTTTTTCCTCCTCACTATCTTGACACTTTGCTCCTAGCGAGCCCATATACAGCCAGTCACTTACGCATTATAGACACTCTCATCAATCCTGGTTTTGTTTTACTGCAGAAAGGAGTGGGCATCCTTCTGGCTCCACATTAATTGCAGTGTGGGAACACAGACCAGGATTGTTAAGTGCTTGCCTATTTTCTCCACTCTTCTCCTTTAGTTGTTCTTTATTCGATGTCTCATCTGTTGGACTCTGAATACCTTATCCTCCCTTCTTACCCCCTCCTCACCTTTCCATGTTTACAGTATCTTCTTTCCTTCCTGTCTCTGGTTCTGTCCTGCCCTCTCCTGCGGCACCACATTTCACTTTCATGTAAACTACCCACCATGGGCCTAACTCAAACATTATACGCTGAGACAGGCATCCGGGAGATAAATTTGTTATTACCATGCGCCTTGATGACATCCTCCATCCTCTGCCGCTCCCACACCCCCCCCCACCCCGCAACTCCTCCCATGAGCAAAGGTGCGTCGGTCGAGAAGTATGTGCTGATAGAGCGTTCTCAATCAAATTAGCATGAGGGATGGTGACAGTGGACTCCAGGGTGCTGCAAGGCAAGCAGGCAGTTTCATTTGCTTATTCTTTATCTCAAGGCCACAGTCAACAGGCACGGATTCTTCCCATTCATCATGGTACCAGAATAATGTACTGTGGTACATTGTTTCCTCTGCAGAACTCACACGGGGTAAAGGAACAAAAGTAGTTGGAGAATTGGAGAAAAAGGGAGAATGAATAGTGGCGAGAAAATGGAAGAGACAAATAGACAATGAGAGCAGGTCATCACACAGCTGTCACAAAAAAACAGGTTTGATTATCACTGCTGGTTGTGTGTGGGCGTGCTTGCCTCAATTCTCATGATTCTCGGCATTTATTATATTAAGTTCAGGGTTACGTTGTCAGCTGGGATTTAAAACTTGTTCTGTTCAGCCCTTGTGTGTCACAAGGTCATCATTGTGTGCTCATGTGCAACATCTTCATTGGGAATTCAGTTTTAATATTCAATTAAATGCTGTCTCATTCTTAGTTATTCTGTCTGGTCTGTAAGTCGTAAACTTGTATTTTATTTGATGTCGGAACCCTTCCTTAGATGAACCACATCCATCCATTATCTATACACCGCTGAATCCTCACGAGGGTCGCGGGGGGGCTGGAGCCTATCCCAGCTGACTTAGGGTGAAGGCAGGGGACACCCTGGACAGGTCACCAGTCTATCACAGGGCTGCACTTAGAGACAGACAACCAAGCACACTCACATTCACACTTTACAATTTAGAATCACCAATTAACCTCAACATGTTTTTGGACTGTGTGAAAGGAAGCCAGAGAACCGGAGAGAACCCACGCTGCACGGGGAGAACATGCAAACTCCACACAGAAAGATTCCGGTGCCCCCACTGGGTCGTGAACCAATGACCTTCTTGCTGCGAGACAACAGTGCTAACCAACTGCACCACCCTGCAGCCCATGAACCACATCAACATGTAAAATGAGCATGTTAGGCATGTGTTTTATTGAGATTTGCTAACGAATTTTGACAAAACACTGAACATAAATTGACTGAATACAAAAGTGAGCGCTTTCTCGCCATTTGTTCCTCCAGATATGATCAATACTTCTCTGTAAATATGTGAATCCACACTCTACCAATGCACACTCGGAAAAGTCCATTTGTTGCCAGCGCCAGACTAAAGTTTAGTTTGCATTTAGATTTTAAAGTTGCATATTCTTTTAAGTTTTTGACCTCCTGTAGCACAAAGGAGTTTTGTTTTCTCAGAGTTGGTGCCCATTTTCTTGTTTCCTTATTTTGCTTTAATTATCTTGAAACACAGTTGTTTCACACTTTGTTCAGCAGGTGGTAATAACACAACAAGTTATGTAGCAATGCTCCAAAAACAGGGAAGGCGGCTACATAGATGTAACCACTGTAAAAAAAAAAAGAAGAAAAGAAAAGAAAAAGACAGTGTTTGAGTCGTTTTATGAGTGAGGGGATCCACATAATGAGCTTTAGTGAGCACTACTTAATGTAAACATAACCTTTGTGCACAAGACGGCACCCCAGGGTAGTTTTAAATTGGATATTTTACACTCTTCATCATGACTTGAAGACTCTGGTTTCAGTTATATTTTCCTTTTTCATTGTAGATCTTTTAGTCAAAGACC